TGCACCCAAGAGGCCTCCTTCGGCCTTTTTCTTGTTCTGTTCGGAGTATTGCCCAAAAATCAAAGGAGAACATCCTGGCCAATCCATTGGTGATGTTGCAGAGAAGCTGAGAGAGATGTGGAATAACACTGCTGCAGATGACAAGCAGCCTTATGAAAAGAAGGCTGCAAAGCTGAAGGAAAAATACGAAAAGGATATTGCTGCAGACCAAGCTAAAGGAAAGCCTGATGCCGCGAAAAAGGGAGTCACCAAGGCTGAAAAAAGCAAGAAAAAGAAGGAAGAGGAGGAAGATGAGGAAGGTGAAGAGGATGAAGAGGAGGAGGAAGATGAAGAAGAAGATGATGATGAATAAGTTGGTTCTAGCGCAGTTTTTTTTTCTTGTCTATAAAGCATTTAACCCCCCTGTACACAACTCACTCCTTTTAAAGAAAAAAATTGAAATGTAAGGCTGTGTAAGATTTGTTTTTAAACTGTACAGTGTCTTTTTTTGTATAGTTAACACACTACTGAATGTGTCTTTAGATACCCCTGTCCTGGTGGTATTTTCAGTAGCCACTAACCTTGCCTGGTACAGTATGGGGGTTGTAAATTGGCATGGAAATTTAAAGCAGGTTCTTGTTGGTGCACAGCACAAATTAGTTATATATGGAGATGGTAGTTTTTTCATCTTCAGTTGTCTCTGATGCAGCTTATACGAAATAATTGTTGTTCTGTTAACTGAATACCACTCTGTAATTGCAAAAAAAAAAAAAGTTGCAGCTGTTTTGTTGACATTCTGAATGCTTCTAAGTAAATACAATTTTTTTATTAAAAAAATAATTTAAAAAGTTATGTGAATGTATTCTTTCTCTTTCTCTTAATGTACTGTATTCACCTACTTTTGGACCTCAGTTGCCTGCAGGTAACTGAAACCCACAAAGATGAACTTTGGATAAGGAGAGACTGACATATTCATTAACATATCTTTTCTATTTAAAGAAACTCTTGCCCAAAAAGATAAAAGTTGCAAGTAACTTTACTGTTTATTTTAGAAACTTCCCTAAAAAGCTATTTAAATGTACATCAAATATTTCAATTCTTCAGTAGATAGCATTGAATGACAGTTTATCCCCAAGACTCCTCAGATCCCCAGGCTCAAAATCCTTCCCACATTTTCCTCCGTTCCTAGACTAGTGTGTCATGCTATTTACCCTATCCCAGTCAAGCTCCAAGATTGAAGGACCTATCTTAAGCTGGAGCCCCAAACCTCAGAAAGATCCTGACTTTGCCCTTTCAACTGTAAGATGCCACTAAGACTCTGTCAAGGTAATCCTCTCCCTTACTAAAACAAG